TGTTCATTGTCAGGGTGGTGTGAAGTGTTGCACTGTTCATTGTCAGGGTGGTGTGAAGTGTTGCACTGTTCATTGTCAGGGTGGTGTGAAGTGTTGCACTGTTCATTGTCAGGGTGGTGTGTAGTGTTGCACTGTTCATTGTCAGGGTGGTGTGAAGTGTTGCAGTGTTCATTGTCAGGGTGGTGTGAAGTGTTGCACTGTTCATTGTCAGGGTGGTGTGTTGTGTTGCACTGTTCATTGTCAGGGTGGTGTGTAGTGTTGCACTGTTCATTGTCAGGGTGGTGTGTAGTGTTGCACTGTTCATTGTCAGGGTGGTGTGAAGTGTTGCACTGTTCATTGTCAGGGTGGTGTGAAGTGTTGCACTGTTCATTGTCAGGGTGGTGTGAAGTGTTGCACTGTTCATTGTCAGGGGTGGTGTGAAGTGTTGCACTGTTCATTGTCAGGGTGGTGTGAAGTGTTGCACTGTTCATTGTCAGGGTGGTGTGAAGTGTTGCACTGTTCATTGTCAGGGTGGTGTGAAGTGTTGCACTGTTCATTGTCAGGGTGGTGTGAAGTGTTGCACTGTTCATTGTCAGGGTAGTGTGAAGTGTTGCACTGTTCATTGTCAGGGTGGTGTGTAGTGTTGCACTGTTCATTGTCAGGGTGGTGTGAAGTGTTGCACTGTTCATTGTCAGGGTGGTGTGAAGTGTTGCACTGTTCATTGTCAGGGTGGTGTGAAGTGTTGCACTGTCAGGGTGGTGTGAAGTGTTGCACTGTTCATTGTCAGGGTAGTGTGAAGTGTTGTACTGTTCATTGTCAGGGTGGTGTGAAGTGTTGCACTGTTCATTGTCAGGGTGGTGTGAAGTGTTGCACTGTTCATTGTCAGGGGTAGTGTGAAGTGTTGCACTGTTCATTGTCAGGGTGGTGTGAAGTGTTGCACTGTTCATTGTCAGGGGTGGTGTGAAGTGTTGCACTGTTCATTGTCAGGGTGGTGTGAAGTGTTGCACTGTTCATTGTCAGGGTGGTGTGAAGTGTTGCACTGTTCATTGTCAGGGTGGTGTGAAGTGTTGCACTGTTCATTGTCAGGGGTGGTGTGAAGTGTTGTACTGTTCATTGTCAGGGGTGGTGTGAAGTGTTGCACTGTTCATTGTCAAGGGTGGTGTGAAGTGTTGCACTGTTCATTGTCAGGGTGGTGTGTAGTGTTGCACTGTTCATTGTCAGGGTGGTGTGTAGTGTTGCACTGTTCATTGTCAGGGTGGTGTGTAGTGTTGCACTGTTCATTGTCAGGGTGGTGTGTAGTGTTGCACTGTTCATTGTCAGGGGTGGTGTGAAGTGTTGCACTGTTCATTGTCAGGGTGGTGTGTAGTGTTGCACTGTTCATTGTCAGGGTGGTGTGAAGTGTTGCACTGTTCATTGTCAGGGGTGGTGTGAAGTGTTGCACTGTTCATTGTCAGGGGTGGTGTGAAGTGTTGCACTGTTCATTGTCAGGGGTGGTGTGAAGTGTTGCACTGTTCATTGTCAGGGGTGGTGTGAAGTGTTGCACTGTTCATTGTCAGGGGTAGTGTGAAGTGTTGCACTGTTCATTGTCAGGGTGGTGTGAAGTGTTGCACTGTTCATTGTCAGGGGTGGTGTGAAGTGTTGCACTGTTCATTGTCAGGGGTGGTGTGAAGTGTTGCACTGTTCATTGTCAGGGTGGTGTGAAGTGTTGCACTGTTCATTGTCAGGGGTGGTGTGAAGTGTTGCACTGTTCATTGTCAGGGTGGTGTGAAGTGTTGCACTGTTCATTGTCAGGGGTGGTGTGAAGTGTTGCACTGTTCATTGTCAGGGGTGGTGTGAAGTATTCCACTGTTCATTGTCAGGGGTAGTGTGAAGTGTTGCACTGTTCATTGTCAGGGTGGTGTGAAGTGTTGCACTGTTCATTGTCAGGGGTGGTGTGAAGTGTTGCACTGTTCATTGTCAGGGTGGTGTGAAGTGTTGCACTGTTCATTGTCAGGGGTGGTGTGAAGTGTTGCACTGTTCATTGTCAGTGGTGGTGTGAAGTGTTGCACTGTTCATTGTCAGGGGTGGTGTGAAGTGTTGCACTGTTCATTGTCAGGGGTGGTGTGAAGTGTTGCACTGTTCATTGTCAGGGTGGTGTGAAGTGTTGCACTGTTCATTGTCAGGGGTAGTGTGAAGTGTTGCACTGTTCATTGTCAGGGTGGTGTGTAGTGTTGCACTGTTCATTGTCAGGGTGGTGTGAAGTGTTGCACTGTTCATTGTCAGGGGTAGTGTGAAGTGTTGCACTGTTCATTGTCAGGGGTAGTGTGAAGTGTTGCACTGCTCATTGTCAGGGTGGTGTGTAGTGTTGCACTGTTCATTGTCAGGGTGGTGTGAAGTGTTGCACTGTTCATTGTCAGGGTGGTGTGAAGTGTTGCACTGTTCATTGTCAGGGGTGGTGTGAAGTGTTGCACTGTTCATTGTCAGGGTGGTGTGAAGTGTTGCACTGTTCATTGTCAGGGTGGTGTGAAGTGTTGCACTGTTCATTGTCAGGGTGGTGTGAAGTGTTGCACTGTTCATTGTCAGGGGTAGTGTGAAGTGTTGCACTGTTCATTGTCAGGGGTGGTGTGAAGTGTTGCACTGTTCATTGTCAGGGTGGTGTGTAGTGTTGCACTGTTCATTGTCAGGGTGGTGTGAAGTGTTGCACTGTTCATTGTCAGGGTGGTGTGTAGTGTTGCACTGTTCATTGTCAGGGTGGTGTGAAGTGTTGCACTGTTCATTGTCAGGGGTAGTGTGAAGTGTTGCACTGTTCATTGTCAGGGTGGTGTGTAGTGTTGCACTGTTCATTGTCAGGGTGGTGTGTAGTGTTGCACTGTTCATTGTCAGGGGTAGTGTGAAGTGTTGCACTGTTCATTGTCAGGGTGGTGTGTAGTGTTGCACTGTTCATTGTCAGGGTGGTGTGAAGTGTTGCACTGTTCATTGTCAGGGGTAGTGTGAAGTGTTGCACTGTTCATTGTCAGGGTGGTGTGAAGTGTTGCACTGTTCATTGTCAGGGTGGTGTGTGAAGTGTTGCACTGTTCATTGTCAGGGTGGTGTGAAGTGTTGCACTGTTCATTGTCAGGGTGGTGTGAAGTGTTGCACTGTTCATTGTCAGGGTGGTGTGAAGTGTTGCACTGTTCATTGTCAGGGTGGTGTGAAGTGTTGCACTGTTCATTGTCAGGGTAGTGTGAAGTGTTGCACTGTTCATTGTCAGGGTGGTGTGTAGTGTTGCACTGTTCATTGTCAGGGTGGTGTGTAGTGTTGCACTGTTCATTGTCAGGGTGGTGTGAAGTGTTGCACTGTTCATTGTCAGGGTGGTGTGAAGTGTTGCACTGTTCATTGTCAGGGTGGTGTGTAGTGTTGCACTGTTCATTGTCAGGGTGGTGTGTAGTGTTGCACTGTTCATTGTCAGGGTGGTGTGTAGTGTTGCACTGTTCATTGTCAGGGTGGTGTGAAGTGTTGCACTGTTCATTGTCAGGGTGGTGTGAAGTGTTGCACTGTTCATTGTCAGGGTGGTGTGAAGTGTTGCACTGTTCATTGTCAGGGTGGTGTGTAGTGTTGCACTGTTCATTGTCAGGGTGGTGTGAAGTGTTGCACTGTTCATTGTCAGGGTGGTGTGTAGTGTTGCACTGTTCATTGTCAGGGTAGTGTGAAGTGTTGCACTGTTCATTGTCAGGGTGGTGTGAAGTGTTGCACTGTTCATTGTCAGGGTGGTGTGAAGTGTTGCACTGTTCATTGTCAGGGTGGTGTGTAGTGTTGCACTGTTCATTGTCAGGGGTAGTGTGAAGTGTTGCACTGTTCATTGTCAGGGGTAGTGTGAAGTGTTGCACTGTTCATTGTCAGGGGTAGTGTGAAGTGTTGCACTGTTCATTGTCAGGGGTAGTGTGAAGTGTTGCACTGTTCATTGTCAGGGTGGTGTGAAGTGTTGCACTGTTCATTGTCAGGGGTGGTGTGAAGTGTTGCACTGTTCATTGTCAGGGGTAGTGTGAAGTGTTGCACTGTTCATTGTCAGGGGTAGTGTGAAGTGTTGCACTGTTCATTGTCAGGGTGGTGTGAAGTGTTGCACTGTTCATTGTCAGGGGTAGTGTGAAGTGTTGCACTGTTCATTGTCAGGGTGGTGTGAAGTGTTGCACTGTTCATTGTCAGGGGTAGTGTGAAGTGTTGCACTGTTCATTGTCAGGGGTAGTGTGAAGTGTTGCACTGTTCATTGTCAGGGGTAGTGTGAAGTGTTGAACTGTTCATTGTCAGGGGTAGTGTGAAGTGTTGCACTGTTCATTGTCAGGGGTAGTGTGAAGTGTTGCACTGTTCATTGTCAGGGGTAGTGTGAAGTGTTGCACTGTTCATTGTCAGGGGTAGTGTGAAGTGTTGCACTGTTCATTGTCAGGGGTAGTGTGAAGTGTTGCACTGTTCATTGTCAGGGTGGTGTGAAGTGTTGCACTGTTCATTGTCAGGGGTGGTGTGAAGTGTTGCACTGTTCATTGTCAGGGGTGGTGTGAAGTGTTGCACTGTTCATTGTCAGGGTGGTGTGAAGTGTTGCACTGTTCATTGTCAGTGGTGTGAAGTGTTGCACTGTTCATTGTCAGTGGTGTGAAGTGTTGCACTGTTCATTGTCAGGGTGGTGTGAAGTGTTGCACTGTTCATCGTCAGGGTGGTGTGTAGTGTTGCACTGTTCATTGTCAGGGGTAGTGTGAAGTGTTGCACTGTTCATTGTCAGGGTGGTGGGAAGTGTTGCACTGATCATTGTCAGGGTGGTGTGTAGTGTTGCACTGTTCATTGTCAGGGGTAGTGTGAAGTGTTGCACTGTTCATTGTCAGGGTGGTGTGTAGTGTTGCACTGTTCATTGTCAGGGTGGTGTGTAGTGTTGCACTGTTCATTGTCAGGGTGGTGTGTAGTGTTGCACTGTTCATTGTCAGGGGTAGTGTGAAGTGAATGCTCGGTATATTTAGAATATAGAAAATATAGAAAATAATAAATACTTTAATTAATAAAAGTCTTAGATGACAGACATTCATGAACTGGAGGTAGTGGTCGTAGCCGTGATCTCCTTCGTCAGCCTTGTAGGACTGGTCCGCCCCGACGGTGTAGCCGGCGTCCAGGTCCAACACAACGTCCTCCACGCGGCGCTGAGACCCCATGTGCCACCTGCCACCACACAACCAATGGTGTCAGTTGTTGTTCTTGTTGTTAAAGATTCCCTACCAGGATACAAAGTTCCAAGTAGCACAGGCTATGGTGAGCCCGCAATGGTGTCAGGTTAACAGCGGCCGTGTATGGTAGGCAACGGAGACGCACTTGGAGACTACATCAGTAAGTCTTCAGTCACCACACCACCACTAAAACACTCAATAAACACACGCGCGTGCGCACACACACACACACACACACACACACACACACACACACACACACACACACACACACACACTAGTGTTTTGGGGGGCCTGGTTGCCAGGTGGATAGCGCGCAGGACTCGTAATTCTGTGGCGCGGGTTCAATTCCCGCACCAGGCAGAAACAAATGGGTAAAGTTTCTTTCACCCTGAATGTCCTTGTTACCTAGCAGTAAATAGATACCTGGGAGTTAGTCAGCTGTCACGGGCTGCTTCCTGGAGTGTGTGTGTTGTGTGGAAAAAAAGTAGTAAACAGTTGATTGACAGTTGAGAGGCGGGCCGAAAGTGCAAAGCTCAACCCCCGCAAGCACAACTAGGTGAATACCACACACACCACACACACGCACACACCACACGCACACACCACACGCACACACACACACACACACACACACACACACACACACACACACACACACACACACACACACACACACACACACACACACACACACACACACACACACACACTCACACACACTCACACTCACACTCACACTCACACTCACACTCACACACAAATTTGGAAAGCAGCTAACGTAGTCCCGATATACAAGAAAGGGGATAGACAGGAGGCACTGAACTACAGGCCAGTGTCCCTAACCTGCATACCATGCAAGCTGATGGAGAAGATTGTGCGAAAAAAAACTAGTGGAGCACCTGGAGCGAAGGAACTTTGTAACACAGCATCAACATGGGTTCAGGGATGGCAGGTCCTGCTTCACAGGGTTACTTGAATTCTACGACCAGGCAACAAAAATAAGGCAAGAAAGAGAAGGGTGGGCAGACTGCATATTTTTGGATTGTCAGAAAGCCTTTGATACAGTGCCACACAAGAGGCTAGTGAAAAAGCTGGAGATGCAGGCTGGAGTGAAAGGGAAGGTACTCCATTGGATAAAGGAGTACCAAAGCAACAGGAGACAACGAGTCTGTGTGAGGGGTGAGGTCTCAGATTGGCGAGACGTTACAAGTGAAGTACCGCAGGGGTCAGTCCTTGGACCTATACTGTTTCTGGTATATGTAAATGATCTCCCAGAGGGTATAGATTCGTTCCTCTCAATGTTTGCCGACGATGCAAAAATTATGAGGAGGATTGAAACAGAGGATGATTGTAGGAGGCTACAAGATGACCTAGATAGACTGAGTGAATGGTCCAACAAATGGCTGTTGAAGTTCAACCCGAGTAAATGCAAAGTAATGAAACTAGGCAGTGGAAACAGGAGGCCAGGCACAGGATACAGAATAGGAGATGAAGTACTTAATGAAACAGACAGAGAGAAAGATCTAGGAGTTGATATCACACCAAACCTGTCTCCTGAAGCCCACATAAAGAGAATAACGTCTGCGGCATATGCGAGGCTGGCTAACATCAGAACGGCGTTCAGGAACCTGTGTAAGGAATCATTCAGAATCTTGTACACCACATATGTAAGACCAATCCTGAAGTATGCGGCCCTAGCATGGAGCCCGTACCTTGTCCGTACCAAGCACAAGACGAAGCTGGAAAAAGTCTAAAGGTATGCTAGTAGACTAGTCCCAGAACTAAGAGGCATGACTTATGAGGAAAGGCTGCGGGAAATGCACCTTACGACACTGGAAGACAGAAGAGTAAGGCGGGACATGATCACAACCTACAAAACCCTCAGGGAAATTGACCGGGTAAACAAGGATGAACTATTCAACACTGGTGGGACACGAACAAGGGGACACAGGTGGAAGCTGAGTACCCAAGTGAGCCACAGAGGCATTAGAAAGAACTTTTTCAGTGTCAGAGTAGTTAGTAAATAGAATGCACTAGGAAGTGATGTGGTGGAGGCTGACTCCATACACAGTTTCAAATGTAGATATGATAGAGCCCAATAGACTCAGTAACCTTTACATTAGTTGATTGACGGTTGAGAGGCGGGACCAAAGAGCCAGAGCTCAACCCCCGAAAACACAACTAGGTGAGTACACACACACACACACACACACACACACGGCCCCAACAGGGGCCGGTGGATGAGCGGACAGCACGCTGTGCGCGTGATCCTGTGGTCCCGGGTTCGATTCCGGGCGCCGGCGAGAAACAATGGGCAGAGAATCTTTCACCCTTGATGCCCCTGTTACCTAGCAGTAAATGGGTACCTGGGAGTTAGTCAGCTGTCAGGGGCTGCTTCCTGGTGTGTGTGTATGTGCGTGTGTGTTTGTGTGTGTGTGTGTGTGTACTCACCTAGTTGTACTCACCTAGTTGTGCTTGCGGGGGTTGAGCTCTGGCTCATTGGTCCCGCCTCTCAACCGTCAATCAACAGGTGTACAGATTCCTGAGCCTATTGGGCTCTATCATATCAACACTTGAAACTGTGTATGGAGTCAGCCTCCACCACATCACTTCCTAATGCATTCCATTTGTCAACCACTCTGACACTAAAAAAATTCTTTCTAATATCTCTGTGGCTCATTTGGGCGCTCAGTTTCCACCTGTGTCCCCTTGTGCGTGTGCCCCTTGTGTTAAATAGCCTGTCTTTATCTACCCTATCAATTCCCTTGAGAATCTTGAATGTGGTGATCATGTCCCACCACACATGTGGTGTCATGTGTGTGTGTGTGTGTGTGTGTGTGTGTGTGTGTGTGTGTGTGTGTGTGTGTGTGTGTGTGTGTGTGTGTGTGTGTGTGTAATTACCTAAGTGTAGTTACAGGATGAGACCTACACTCGTTGTGTCCCGTCTTCCCAGCACTCTTTGTCATACAACGCTTTGAAACAACTGACGGTCTTAGCCTTGATGTGTGTGTGTGTGTGTGTGTGTGGAAAAAAAAGTAGTAGTAGTAGAAACAGTTGATTGACACAGTTGAGAGGCGGGCCGAAAGAGCAGAGCTCAACCCTCGCAAGTACAACTACGTAAGTACAACTAGGTGAGTACACACACAAACACACACAGTGTGGGAGGAGGAACTTAAAGGAAAAACAGTACAGGGTCTTGATGAAAAACGTAAAAATGACCCCTCACTTGCTCTAGTGCTCTTGGGAGATGGTGGTCTTTGGTGTGTATAAAAATATATACTATAAGAAATTATAGACCAAAACTAGCGGATATGCATGGGGGGGAGGGGGAGGAGAGTTACATACCAACAGGAAGGGAAAAAAGTTGGAGAAAACATAATAACTCAGAAATAATAAAGCAAAAATAAGAAGTAAAAGGGAGTGGATGAAATACAGAGAACCTGTGAGAGGGGCAGCAGTCACTCTCTAGTCCCTCTCTTCCCCATATAAGGAGAGTATCGGAAAAAAAATTACGAGACAATATTGCAATCAGAGCAAAAAAGCAACCAAAATTAATTCATGTTCATATAAGAAAGAAAATGACAATGACCAAGTATCAAGACTACGGAAAACAGAAGGTTCAGTCACAGAAAGCAACAAGGAAATCTGCGAGGTACTGAACGTCAGTTTCCTGGAGTGTTCACAGCCAAGCCTGAGCAGCTCCCATTGTTAAAAGAGATGACTCAAAAGGAGAGACTATCAGATATAGAGATGACAGCAGAGGAGGTAATGAAACAGCTGTCAACACTAGGCGAAACTAAAGCAGTTGAACCAAACAAAGTATCACCGTGGATACTAAAAGAGGCATCGCAGACCCTCAGCGTGCCTCTGGCAAGCTCAGGGCAGTGAGCAATGAGACAAAAGTGCTGAACAGTGCCTCAGCTTTGTTTTGTCTTACTGCTGAGCAGTGAGACAACAGTGTAACAACAGTGTGACAGCAGTGAGACAACAGTGTGACAGCAGTGAGACAACAGTGTGACAGTAGAGACACAACAGTGTGACAGTAGAGAGACAACAGTGTGACAGTAGAGAGACAACAGTGTGACAGTAGAGAGACAACAGTGTGACAGTAGAGACACAACAGTGTGACAGCAGTGAGACAACTTTGTGACAGTAGAGAGAATAGTGTGACAGTAGAGAGACAACAGTGTAACAGCAGTGAGACAACTTTGTGACAGTAGAGAGACAACAGTGTGACAGTAGAGAGACAACAGTGTGACAGTAGAGAGACAACAGTGTGACAGCAGTGAGACAACTTTGTGACAGTAGAGAGACAACAGTGTGACAGTAGAGAGACAACAGTGTGACAGTAGAGAGACAACAGTGTGACAGTAGAGAGACAACAGTGTGACAGTAGAGAGACAACAGTGTGACAGTAGAGAGACAACAGTGTGACAGCAGTGAGACAACTTTGTGACAGTAGAGAGACAACAGTGTGACAGTAGAGAGACAACAGTGTGACAGTAGAGAGACAACAGTGTGACAGTAGAGAGACAACAGTGTGACAGTAGAGAGACAACAGTGTGACAGTAGAGAGTCACCTCCTGGGACGAGAACAACAGAAGAGTCCGTACCTGACTGGGAAGAACAACAGGAGAGTCCGTACCTGACTGGGAAGAACAACAGGAGAGTCCGTACCTGACTGGGAAGAACAACAGGAGAGTCCGTACCTGACTGGGAAGAACAACAGGAGAGTCCGTACCTGACTGGGAAGAACAACAGGAGAGTCCGTACCTGACTGGGAAGAACAACAGGAGAGTCCGTACCTGACTGGGAGGAACAACAGGAGAGTCCGTACCTGACTGGGAGGTTGAAGAACAATAGGAGAGTCCGTACCTGACTGGGAAGAACAACAGGAGAGTCCGTACCTGACTGGGAGGTTGAACAACAGGAGAGTCCGTACCTGACTGGGAGTTTGAAGAACAACAGGAGAGTCCGTACCTGACTGGGAAGAACAACAGGAGAGTCCGTACCTGACTGGGAGGTTGAAGAACAACAGGAGAGTCCGTACCTGACTGGGAGTTTGAAGAACAACAGGAGAGTCCGTACCTGACTGGGAAGAACAACAGGAGAGTCCGTACCTGACTGGGAGGTTGAAGAACAACAGGAGAGTCCGTACCTGACTGGGAGGTTGAAGAACAGGAGAGTCCGTACCTGACTGGGAAGAACAACAGGAGAGTCCGTACCTGACTGGGAGGTTGAAGAACAACAGTAGAGTCCGTACCTGACTGGGAGTTTGAAGAACAACAGGAGAGTCCGTACCTGACTGGGAAGAACAACAGGAGAGTCCGTACCTGACTGGGAGGTTGAAGAACAACAGTAGAGTCCGTACCTGACTGGGAGGAACAACAGGAGAGTCCGTACCTGACTGGGAAGAACAACAGGAGAGTCCGTACCTGACTGGGAGGAAGAACAGGAGAGTCCGTACCTGACTGGGAGGAGATGCCTGTGGTGGACCCGGAGGTGTGGTCGGCGGCAAGCCAGAGCCTCCATCATGGTGGTCGTGGTGGCTGGGGGGAACAACACAACACTTCACTTCTCTCTTCGCGACATTTCTTACATCTCTCATTTTCAAGCTTAAGGCTAATGTAATGCAGCCCCAGTGTAGGGACTACACTCTCAGGGCTCGGCGCCCCCCACTACCAGTGTAGGGACTACACTCTCAGGGCTCGGCGCCCCCCACTACCAGTGTAGGGACTACACTCTCAGGGCTCGGCGCCCCCCACTACCAGTGTAGGGACTACACTCTCAGGGCTCGGCGCCCCCCACTACCAGTGTAGGGACTACACTCTCAGGGCTCGGCGCCCCCCACTACCAGTGTAGGGACTACACTCTCAGGGCTCGGCGCCCCCCACTACCAGTGTAGGGACTACACTCTCTGGGCTCGGCGCCCCCCACTACCAGTGTAGGGACTACACTCTCAGGGCTCGGCGCCCCCCACTACCAGTGTAGGGACTACACTCTCAGGGCTCGGCGCCCCCCCCACTACCAGTGTAGGGACTACACTCTCAGGGCTCGAATTAAACAAAATTACCTTGAGAATCGAAATAGCTTAGATTTTATGTGTGGGGCCTGGAAATAAAGGTGATGTTACACAAGTGGATTTCACTGACAAACGGTCAGGATGGGGATTGGGGGTGTACTTACCTAATTGTGCTTGCGGGGGTTGAGCTCTGGCTCTTTGGTCCCACCTCTCAGCTGTCAATCAACAGGTGTACAGGTTTCCGAGCCTACTGGGCTCTATCATATCTACATTCGAAGCTGTGTATGGAGTCAGCCTCCACCACATCACTTCTTAATGCATTCCATTTGTCTACTACTCTGACACTGAAAAAATTCTTTCTAACGTCTGTATGGGTCATTTGGGCACTCAATTTCCACCAGTGTTCCCTAATGCGTGTGTCCCTTGTGTTAAATAGGCTGTCTTTATCTACCCCGTCAATTCCTCTGAGAACCTTGTATGTGGTGATCATGTCCCCTCTAACTCTTCTGTCTCCCAGTGGCGTGAGGTTTAAATCCTGTAGTCTCTCCTCGTAGCTCATGCCCCTCAGTTCGGGTACTAGTCTGGTGGCAAACCTTTGAACCTTTTCCAGTTTAGTCTTATGGTTGACTAGATATGGACTCCATGCTGGAGCCGCATACTCCAGGATTGGTCTGACATATGTGGTATACAAAGTTCTAAACGATTCCTTACACAAGTTTCTAAAGACCGTTCTTATGTCAGCGAACCTGGCGTATGCCGCTGATGTTATCCTCTTGATATGAGCTTCAGGGGACAGGTCTGGCATGATATCAACCCCCAGGTCTTTCTCTCTCTCTTAGACTCTTAAAGTATTTCATCTCCCAAATGATACCTAGTATCTGGTCTCCTGCTCCCTACACCTATCTTCATTACATTGCATTTGCTTGGGTTAAACTCTAACAATCGTTTGTTCGACCATTCCTGCAGGTTGTCCAGGCGTGCGGAGGAAGGAGAGAGTTGCTCTATCCGGTGAGCTACCTAACACATCAGATATCAAAATTGAACGTATAAATCGAACAATTCTTACGACTGGATTCTAAATAAAAAAAACATCTCTTGAGGCCTATCAAGAAGTGAGTGCCTCGTTAGAGCCGATGTGCACCAACATGTGCTGCCCAATGTTCCACATTGGGTGTCGGTCGGCCGAGCGGACAGCACACTGGACTTGTGATCCTGTGGTCCTGGGTTCGATTCCAGGCGCCGGCGAGAAACAATGGGCAAAGTTTCTTTCACCCTGAATGCTCCTGTTACCTAGCAGTAAAATAGGTACCTGGGTGTTAGTCAGCTGTCACGGGCTGCTTCCTGGGGGTGGAGGCCTGGTCGAGGACCGGGCCGCGGGGGACACTAAAGCCCCGAAATCATCTCAAGATAACCTCAAGATAACTCAAGATAACCTTATCTCCACAGATCCAACTCCCACATTGTCCATCCTGGTGTAGTGCCTTAGTGACCTTATCTCCACAGATCCAACGCCCACATTGTCCACCCTGGTGTAGTGCCTTAGTGACCTTATCTCCACAGATCCAACTCCCACATTGTCCACCCTGGTGTAGTGCCTTAGTGACCTTATCTCCACAGATCCAACGCCCACATTGTCCACCCTGGTGTAGTGCCTTAGTGACCTTATCTCCACAGATCCAACTCCCACATTGTCCACCCTGGTGTAGTGCCTTAGTGACCTTATCTCCACAGATCCCACTCCCACATTGTCCACCCTGGTGCAGTGCCTTAGTGACCTTATCTCCACAGATCCCACTCCCACATTGTCCACCCTGGTGTAGTGCCTTAGTGACCTTATCTCCACAGATCCCACTCCCACATTGTCCACCCTGGTGTAGTGCCTTAGTGACCTTATCTCCACAGATCCAACTCCCACATTGTCCACCCTGGTGTAGTGCCTTAGTGACCTTATCTCCACAGATCCAACTCCCACATTGTCCACCCTGGTGTAGTGCCTTAGTGACCTTATCTCCACAGATCCAACGCCCACATTGTCCACCCTGGTGTAGTGCCTTAGTGACCTTATCTCCACAGATCCCACTCCCACATTGTCCACCCTGGTGTAGTGCCTTAGTGACCTTATCTCCACAGATCCAACTCCCACATTGTCCATCCTGGTGTAGTGCCTTAGTGACCTTATCTCCACAGATCCCACTCCCACATTGTCCATCCTGGTGTAGTGCCTTAGTGACCTTATCTCCACAGATCCCACTCCCACATTGTCCACCCTGGTGTAGTGCCTTAGTGACCTTATCTCCACAGATCCAACGCCCACATTGTCCACCCTGATGTAGTGCCTTAGTGACCTTATCTCCACAGATCCCACTCCCACATTGTCCACCCTGGTGTAGTGCCTTAGTGACCTTATCTCCACAGATCCAACTCCCACATTGTCCACCCTGGTGTAGTGCCTTAGTGACCTTATCTCCACAGATCCAACTCCCACATTATCCATCCTGGTGTAGTGCCTTAGTGACCTTATCTCCACAAATCCAACTCCAAATCAGGGTGAAGTTATCAAGACTTAGCAGCAATAGACAGCCAAAAAGAGGAAGAGGGTCAAAAAACATTTGACTCCTAGTGGACTTCTTTCATCGTCCAGCTCCAACCCAGTTGACATAAGCATTGACAACACTCCTCTTGTACCTGTCTGGGCAGTCACTGTTGGCATTGAGGCACATTCCTATGTTTGTTTTCTTAGTCTAGACTGCAATGTGGAAGCCTCCGCTCCTTTCCGTAACTGTTACATCGAGAAAGGGCAGCTTCCCATCCTTCTCCATCTCGTAAGTGAAACTTAACACAGAATTCTGCTCGAATGCTGTTCTGCTGTGTTACGTTTCACTTACGAGATGGAGAATGATGGGAAGCTGCCCTTTCTAGATGTAACAGTCACGGAAAGGAGCGGAGGTTTCCACATTGCAGTCTACACTAAGGAAACAAACATAAGAATGTGCCTCAATGCCAACAGTGACTGCCCGGACAGGTACAAGAGGAGTGTTGTCAACGCTTACGTCGACTGGGCTCTCAGTCACAGCTCAGGATGGAACAAGTCGATGGGGAACTCTGTAGGGGTAAGGCAGGTGCCCTAGTCAACAATGTCTTCTCTAACGAATATGTTGAAGATGTCATAAAGAGAAAGGTAAAACGCCATGCAACCTCTGAAGAGTCAAATAACACAACACCTGCACCCCCTATTAGGCTGTTTTACAGGAACTTCTTTTCCACAGCTCATAACATAGAGGAAAGGGGCCTGAAAGATATTGTTAATAGGAACATTATCCCCACAGACAAAAATCAGTAAATACAATTGACAATTTACTATAAAACCCCAAAAAACGGCCAACCTACTCATGAAAAACTCCCCAGACACCAAAGAGAACGCCTTGAAGGAAACCAACGTCGTCTATGCCTTCAAAAGCCCACTTGGGGACTGTAGGCCCCAAAGAACTCAGTATATAGGCAAGACAACAACGTCTCTTTCCAGGCTATTAACAATGCATAAACAACAGGTCTCCAACAAGGAACATATAATCTCTTCTCACAACCAGACCATCACCAGAGAAATCTTAACAAACAACACAGAAGTCATTGACAGATAGAGCGATAGCAGGCGGCTTGACATCTGCGAGGCACTACACATCAAAAAGTCAACACCTGCAATCAACAGCCAATTAACGCATAACTATATTCTACCCACTTCAAGACCTTATATGGGCCAATAGGCCCTCTGCAGTTACTTTCATTCTTATGTACCCACCTCACCCAATACCCACCTCACCCAACACGAATATAAAAGCAAAATTATGTAGGTTAAATATATCATACACAGTGTATCAAGTGTATCATAAGTGTAGTGTTAAGTGAAAACAAGTTTTTGAGAATGTAAGAAATCCTTACGAAACGCTTCTAGGCTTTAGACCAAAATTAAAATGAATTTTGGAGAGTTGATATTTCAATTACCCTCAACAGTGAAGAAAACCATAAGAAATATTGAGAAAATTCGTGTTAGAATTATTTATCTTACCTTTTCGGTCATATTCAACAATATATATATATATATGCGGAAAATCCACAGAGAAATATGAAATGAGGTGAACGTTTCGGCTTTGTTAAAGCCTTTGTCAACACCAGACTACTCAGTCTGAGTCTTGAGTCAGTCTGGTGTTGACAAAGGCTAACAAAGCCGAAACGTTCACCTCATTTCATATTTCTCTGTGGATTTTCCGCATAAAATGATCAGTGTTTTGTGATCGTCAATATATAGTGAGAAATAGAGATATATTGAAAGACAGATATATCAATAAGAGAATCATGGGTCCTATTACACTAAATGATAGTCATCCAGGACGTATAAATTACAAGCTATTAATCCTGTGTGTCAACCCAGAGAACCAGGCCGGAGAAACATTTGTTGCTGGGTATATGTTTAGTTTTCAATGATTTTAACATAAATTATGACAATATTCCTGGGAAACACGTCAGTATTAACTATGATATTAACATGCTATGTTAATATCAATAGTTAATGCTATTCCTGGGCAGCTCGTCAGTATTTGTCTTGGAGTAAAAGAAAAGGTACCGTAATTTTGGATAAAAATGGCTAATCTAAAATGACTGTAGAACTTGGGAAGGATATGAGGACAAGCTAGGAGCTGGGTGGCGAGGAGAGTGTGAAGGAATAGTACCGAGCCACCGAGACCGTTGGGAATCGGACGCCGACCCAGTAAGAAGCGAGTCGGTACTGACCCAAGCAGTCCAAGTGAATGGTATGTCTCACCGGGTGTGTTATCATGAGGCGTAAATCTTCCGAAGGCGCCTTTCCAGAACCTGGTATCGTTGGCGAGGTTGGGGATGAAGGAGCTGAGGTTGATAGCTTTGTCCTGCCCCGCCTGCACCATGCCGTGGTCAGAGATCACCAGCAGATTAACGCAGGCCAGGAGGCTGCGTGCCTGGAGCCCCTCCACCAGGCGCTTCACCTCTAAGTCAACACCGACCAACATTTGCTCCATCTGTCAATTACAAACATACACTCATCATCGTTATTTTTTTTGAGATATATACAAGAGTTGTTACATTCTTGTAGAGCCACTAGTACGCGTAGCGTTTCGGGCAAGTCCTTAATCCTACGGTCCCTGGAATACGATCCCCCGCCGCGAAGAATCGTTTTTTCATCCAAGTACACATTTTACTGTTGCGTTAAACAGAGGCTACAGTTAAGGAATTGCGCCCAGTAAATCCTCCCCGGCCAGGATACGAACCCATGACATAGCGCTCGCGGAACGCCAGGCGAGTGTCTTACCACTACACCACGGAGACTGTCAATGGGGAATGTTATGGGGAAGACTAGGCATCAGCCCAGAGAAACAACGTGTGTAACATATTACAAGAAAATTTGTGAAAATAAATAAAAAACGGACATTATTACAAGAAGGATAGTGATGCTAAATATAAAAACACACGTTCAGTACTAACTTCTCTAGATGATACACTGCATACGACATACTCTAGATGATACAGTGCATACGACATACTCTGTTAGAACATAAGAATAAGAAATTCCAGGAGCTCACATTAGAGCATTCCAGGAAGTCTTTACGTTAGAGCAAGGACAAGTTCCTGAGATAAGAGAGGGAATATCTAACCAGGTACTCTGTTAGAACCAGTAAGAATAAGATTTGCTTGAGTTGGATGTGACAGGACAACCCGCTCACAAATTCGTAAAGTCATATTGACCAGTGCATAGTGATTACTACGTTAGATACCCTTAAAAAGATTCAAGTTCCTTGTTAGTATCTTAAGAGAGCATCTTATTGCTTCGTAATACAATTATTACTTAACCAGTGGGGAGGTAAGAAAGCATTTGCTTGAGTTGGATGTGACAGGATTATAGGTCCTGAGAAAATCTCGCCATGGATATTGAAAGAAAAAGCCGAAGTTCTGTGCCTACCACTCTCAAAGGTGTATAGCAAATCATTGATAACAGGAGAACTGCCAAAAATTTAGAAGACGGCTAATGTAATCCCAATATACAAGATGGGTGACAGAACGCACTGAACAAAAGGCCAGTGTCCTTAACTTGCATACCATGCAAGGTGATGGAGCAGACTGTAAATAAAAAAAACTAGTAGAGCATCTAGAGTGAAGGAAATTTGTAACACATCACCAACATGAGTTCAGGGATGGCAAATCTTGCCTCACAGGTTTAAGTGAATTTTATGACCAGGCAACAAAAAATAGGCAAGAAAAAGAAAGGTGGGCATACTGCATATTCTTGGATTGCTAGACAACCTTTGACACAGTATTACATAAGACACTAGTGCATAAGCTGGAGATGTAGGCAGGAGTAATAGAAAACGGACTCCATTGGATAAGAGAGTGCCTAAGTCACCAATGGAGTCTCACAGGGTTTAGTCTTTGGACCTATCCTGTTTTTGATATATGTAAATGATCTCCCTGAAGGAATGGACTCGTTCCTCTCAATGGTTCCCATTGATGCAAAAATTATGAGGAGGATTAAGACCGAGGAAGATAGCAAGAGGCTACAAGATGACTTAGACAAACTGAAGAAATTATCTAACAAATGGCTACTATAGTTCAACCCAAGTAACTGTAAAGTAATGAAACTATGTTGATGGAACAGGAAGCCAAACAGAGGTTGATTGATTGATTAATCAATCAATCAATCAGTCCAGTTGATTGACAGTTGAGAGGCGGGACCAAAGAGCCAGAGCTCAACCCTCGCAAGCACAACTAGGTGAGTACAGCTAGGTGAGTACATGGTACCGAATGGAAAACGAAGTCCTCCACCAAACAGATATCTACGAGTTGATATCACACCGATCCTGTCTCCCGACGTCCACATCAAAAGAATATCATGAGCAATGAATGCAAGGCTGGCTGACATAAGAACTCCCTTTAGAAGCTTGGGTAAGGAATCATTTAGAACTCATGTATGCCACTGATGTAAGACGTTAAGTTCAATCTGGAGAATACAGTTACAGGATGGAATCCATACCTTGACAAGCATAAGAGAAATATGGAGTGAAACGAAGGCAAAGAAAAACACAGTAGACTGAGTAAGATCAGGATCTGTGAAATCAGGATTACGGGTCATTGGCAAATCTAGCAAAGATGATGGCGTCAAGGGAGCGGGAGGACGGACCAGAGGTGGACTGATGGAGTCTGTCGGAGGAGGCATCGGAGAAAGAGGTCAAGGGAACCGGGGGGGAGGAAGGACAGGATTCTCTCTCGGCAGCATCCGAGAGAGAATCAAGGACCAAGAGAACCTCCATAGATGGGACAGGCGACTCCGCGACTGAAATGGAAGGGGGATGCAGGAATAGAGTCGGATATATAGAAGGTGAGAAATATAGCGAGGCCTTCTTACCCGCTGGGAAGGAAGTAGAAGAGCCAGACTTACGTTTCTAATGTAGAGACAGGCGTGCTAGCAGCATTTTTTTTTTTTTTTTTTTTTTTTTTGAGATATATACAAGAGTTGTTACATTCTTGTACAGCCACTAGTACGAGTAGCGTTTCGGGCAAGTCCTTAATCCTATGGTCCCTGGAATACGATCCCCTGCCGCGAAGAATCGTTTTTTCATCCAAGTACACATTTTATTGTTGCGTTAAACAGAGGCTACATTTAAGGAATTGCGCCCAGTAAATCCTCCCCGGCCAGGATACGAACCCATGACATAGCGCTCGCGGAACGCCAGGCGAGTGTCTTACCACTACACCACGGAGACTGTCATTGTACTGGGTGACAGTTTCTACAGTCAACAAGAGAAGGAGAACGGGAGCGCTCAACACGAAGATTACCTGGAAGAAGATGGACAATAGCCTGGACAGACTGACGTTGTGGAAGGTCCAAAAGACAGAGGGGAGAGCTGAGAAGAAGGAATGGGGCGAGATCGGAAGGAGGGCACAGGAGAAATGGAAGACTGAAAAGAAGGAAGGAAGGAAGGAAATACCAGGAGGAAGACCCCTCTGGCCCAGAACGCCAAAAAGCAGATGAGATGGTAGTGGAAGTGTCGGGGTCAATATCCTAGAAACGGTTGCGAAACTGAGAAAGTGGGAGAGGGCGAGATGTGGAATGCACCACACGAGCATAAGACATGCCAGAGAAAGAGGGAAGACAGCGAACCTGGCGCCTCACCTACGGAAAAGATGAACGATGGCCATGTTTCAAATTGAGGATGGCTTCTTCAAATTTGTAGTGCACACATGCACGTGAGAAGGCAGGGTGGGCGTCGTCGCAACTGATGCAGAGAGCTTGGGAAGAGGAGCACTCCGTCTTAGAATGACCCGAGGCTCCACACAGATAGCATAGACACACCTCCCTTGTGCACCTGAAGACACCATGCCCAAATCTCCAGCACCTGTTGCAGACGCGAGAAGAGGGAATGTACTCCTGAACAGAGCATCTGGCACCAGCAAGAATTACAGAAGCTGGAAGGAGCTACTATTAAAACGTGACCTTCACAACGAGAAAAGAATGACGACGACTACCACGAGGGGGTCGAGTGAAAGTATCAATCTGGAGGATAGAATAGCCTTTGGGCTCAAAGATTGCCTTGGACTTTGGATTGGCAAAGAAGCTTGGGCTTCTTAATATCCTCGTAGTAGTCTTTCAGTTCCCTATCATCAGTCACAACATGGGGCGGGAGAAGAACTGTGCCAATGCCGGCATTTAACTGCGCGTTTTTGGAGATCCGAACTGGGGTCTCTCCAATGCAAGACAACAAAGCCAAACAGTCAGCCACTTCCTGAGAAGGAGCTGCAACAATACGTGTACCAGTACAAGTGTAGCTAAAAGTGACAACTGTATCCACCAAATCAACAAAGTGTTTATGGATGAATAAATCATCAGGATGTATAGGATCAACATGGCTGAGATAAAGATCTGTTTGGTCCACTTAGCAGGACCAAACAGATCTTGAAATGTATTAGACTGTGAAGGAATCGTGCAAGTGCGGATGTGACGGCGCCGAGCACCATCAGTAAAAGAGGGTGTAAAAGGCGCAGTTGTTACAACGAGAGACGGAGCCACGCCAGGTGACGAGGTAGTCACCACTGGGGGCTCGGGGCTCAACCCCTCTTCAGAGTTTGGAGGGTAGCAGAGTCAGAGAAGCAGCAAGGACTGGGTCGAATGTAGCGGGGGCTACAGAGCCCGGCCTTCCAGCAGAGTCAGAGAAGCAGCCAGGACTGGGTCGAATGTAGCGGGGGCTACAGAGCCCGGCCTTCCAGCAGAGTCAGAGAAGCAGCAAGGACTGGGTCGAATGTAGCGGGGGCTACAGAGCCCGGCCTTCCAGCAGAGTCAGAGAAGCAGCAAGGACTGGGTCGAATGTAGCGGGGGCTACAGAGCCCGGCCTTCCAGCAGAGTCAGAGAAGCAGCAAGGACTGGGTCGAATGTAGCGGGGGCTACAGAGCCCCTTCCAGCAGAGTCAGAGAAGCAGCAAGGACTGGGTCCGGGGGCTACAGAGCCCGGCCTTCCAGCAGAGTCAGAGAAGCAGCAAGGACTGGGTCGAATGTAGCGGGGGCTACAGAGCCCGGCCTTCCAGCAGAGTCAGAGAAGCAGCAAGGACTGGGTCGAATATAGCGGGGGCTACAGAGCCCAGCCTCCAGCAGAGTCAGAGAAGCAGCAAGGACTGGGTAATTAGCGGGGGCTACAGAGCCCAGCCTCCAGCAGAGTCAGAGAATCAGCAAGGACTGGGTCGAATGTAGCGGGGGCTACAGAGCCCGGCCTTCCAGCAGAGTCAGACTCGGGGGCCCTGGTCGCCTTCCCCACGAGTCTGAGAAGTTAATTGAGGGTCTGAAATCGACATAGACACTAACAGGTATAAAATTTTGTCCACAAATAAGCAGGCATATCTGTTGACCAGACCACACACTAGAAGTTGAAGGGACGACGACGTTTCGGTCCGTCCTGGACCATTCTCAGGCAGGCATATCCATCACGAAGCTATAATAATACATAATTGTAGATGGGGACCCATAATTAAGGTCCCAGTAGTACAGTCGGGTATTACTCGACTAACAATTGAGAATTCCAGGTTAAAATAACGAGCAGGAAAGAAATGGTTGGGCACATTTCCTTTCATCTAATGCGTCTGTTTACCTAGCATTAAGTTGGTACTTAGAAGTTAGTCATTTTGTTGTGGGGTTTCAGACTGGGAGGGGTCAGTAATTCGGCCTTGGGGAAGGACCTCGATAAAATTAAACAAATGTTTAAATACACTATGGCTTCCTGTCCCCCGACACAATGAATTATGAATTATATCTGACATAATTGTGGCTTCAGACATATAAGTATGTCCGTGGGGCAGACATTCCTTATGTTCGAGGGGTGGGGCAGACATACCTCATGGGAGCAGGGTGGGGCAGACATACCTCATGGGAGCAGGGTGGGGCAGACATACCTCATGGGAGCAGGGTGGGGCAGACATACCTCATGGGTGCAGGGTGGGGCAGACATACCTCATGGGAGCAGGGTGGGGCAGACATACCTCATGGGTGCAGGGTGGGGCAGACATACCTCATGGGAGCAGGGTGGGGCAGACATACCTCATGGGAGCAGGGTGGGGCAGACATACCTCATGGGAGCAGGGTGGGGCAGACATACCTCATGGGTGCAGGGTGGGGCAGACATACCTCATGGGTGCAGGGTGGGGCAGACATACCTCATGGGTGCAGGGTGGGGCAGACATACCTCATGGGTGCAGGGTGGAGCAGACATACCTCATGGGTGCAGGGTGGGGCAGACATACCTCATGGGAGCAGGGTGGGGCAGACATACCTCATGGGTGCAGGGTGGGGCAGACATACCTCATGGGAGCAGGGTGGAGCAGACATACCTCATGGGAGCAGGGTGGGGCAGACATACCTCATGGGTGCAGGGTGGAGCAGACATACCTCATGGGAGCAGGGTGGGGCAGACATACCTCATGGGTGCAGGGTGGGGCAGACATACCTCATGGGTGCAGGGTGGGGCAGACATACCTCATGGGTGCAGGGTGGGGCAGACATACCTCATGGGTGCAGGGTGGGGCAGACATACCTCATGGGTGCAGGGTGGAGCAGACATACCTCATGGGTGCAGGGTGGGGCAGACATACCTCATGGGAGCAGGGTGGGGCAGATATACCTCATGGGTGCAGGGTGGGGCAGACATACCTCATGGGAGCAGGGTGGAGCAGACATACCTCATGGGAGCAGGGTGGGGCAGACATACCTCATGGGAGCAGGGTGGGGCAGACATACCTCATGGGAGCAGGGTGGAGCAGACATACCTCATGGGTGCAGGGTGGGGCAGACATACCTCATGGGTGCAGGGTGGGGCAGACATACCTCATGGGAGCAGGGTGGGGCAGACATACCTCATGGGTGCAGGGTGGGGCAGACATACCTCATGGGAGCAGGGTGGGGCAGACATACCTCATGGGAGCAGGGTGAGGCAGACATACCTCATGGGTGCAGGGTGGGGCAGACATACCTCATGGGAGCAGGGTGGGGCAGACATACCTCATGGGAGCAGGGTGGGGCAGACATACCTCATGGGAGCAGGGTGGGGCAGACATACCTCATGGGTGCAGGGTGGGGCAGACATACCTCATGGGAGCAGGGTGGGGCAGACATACCTCATGGGAGCAGGGTGGGGCAGACATACCTCATGGGAGCAGGGTGGAGCAGACATACCTCATGGGAGCAGGGTGGGGCAGACATACCTCATGGGAGCAGGGTGGAGCAGACATACCTCATGGGTGCAGGGTGGGCAGACATACCTCATGGGTGCAGGGTGGGGCAGACATACCTCATGGGTGCAGGGTGGAGCAGACATACCTCATGGGTGCAGGGAGGGGCAGACATACCTCATGGGAGCAGGGTGGGGCAGACATACCTCATGGGAGCAGGGTGGGACAGACATACTTCATGGGTGCAGGGTGGAGCAGACATACCTTATGTTCGAGGGGTGGGGCAGACATACCTCATGGGTGCAGGGTGGGGCAGACATACCTCATGGGAGCAGGGTGGGGCAGACATACCTCATGGGAGCAGGGTGGGGCAGACATTCCTTATGTTCGAGGGGTGGGGCAGACATACCTCATGGGTGCAGGGTGGGGCAGACATTCCTTATGTTCGAGGGGTGGGGCAGACATACCTCATGGGTGCAGGGTGGGGCAGACATACCTCATGGGAGCAGGGTGGGGCAGACATACCTCATGGGAGCAGGGTGGGGCAGACATTCCTTATGTTCGAGGGGTGGGGCAGACATACCTCATGGGTGCAGGGTGGGGCAGACATACCTCATGGGTGCAGGGTGGGGCAGACATACCTCATGGGAGCAGGGTGGGGCAGACATACCTCATGGGTGCTGGGTGGGGCAGACTTACCTCATGGGTGCAGGGTGGGGCAGACATACCTCATGGGTGCAGGGTGGGGCAGACATACCTCATGGGTGCAGGGTGGGGCAGACATACCTCATGGGAGCAGGGTGGGGCAGACATACCTCATGGGTGCAGGGTGGGGCAGACATACCTCATGGGAGCAGGGTGGGGCAGACATACCTCATGGGAGCAGGGTGGGGCAGACATACCTCATGGGAGCAGGGTGGGGCAGACATACCTCATGGAGCAGGGTGGGGCAGACATACCTCATGGGAGCAGGGGTGGGGCAGACATACCTCATGGGAGCAGGGTGGGGCAGACATACCTCATGGGAGCAGGGTGGGGCAGACATACCTCATGGGTGCAGGGTGGGGCAGACATACCTCATGGGAGCAGGGTGGGGCAGACATACCTCATGGGTGCAGGGTGGAGCAGACATACCTCATGGGTATGCAGGGTGGGGCAGACATACCTCATGGGTGCTGGGTGGGGCAGACATACCTCATGGGAGCAGGGTGGGGCAGACATACCTCATGGGTGCAGGGTGGGGCAGACATACCTCATGGGTGCAGGGTGGGACAGACATACCTCATGGGAGCAGGGTGGGGCAGACATACCTCATGGGAGCAGGGTGGGGCAGACATACCTCATGGGTGCAGGGTGGGGCAGACATACCTCATGGGAGCAGGGTGGAGCAGACATACCTCATGGGAGTACGGTCCGTACTCATGACCTGTCTGGTCAGGTTCGTGCATATACAGGGTGATGAAGGCAGGTCTGGTCTCAGGAGGCAGGTCCAGCCACGACAACACCTACATCAATGACAAACATTAAAAAACTATAATTTGATATCTAAAAGTAATAAGAGATATCTTAAAGAATATCTAAAAATGACATATCTAACACTTAAGACCTAAGATATCCCAAACGTGTAATAGACTCGCCTAAGTCACTTGCTGTGACCAGTGAGGATATATAACCACCTTAAAATCATCCCGGTTTAGGTTACTAGATCAAACACTCGAGGAGAAGTGTTTCTGGCGCCAATGGTAACATCATCTTGAGATTATTATTTCGGGGCTTTTTTTTGTTAGTGTCCCCGAGGCCCGGTCCTCGACCAGGCCTCCACCCCCAGGAAGCAGCCCGTGACAGCTGACTAACACCCAGGTACCTATTTTACTGCTAGGTAACAGAGGCATAGGGTGAAAGAAACTCTGCCCAGTGTTTCTCGCCGGCGCCTGGGATCGAACCCAGAACCACAGGATCACAAGTCCAGCGTGCTGTCCGCTCGGCCGACCGGCTCCCTACATCAGTAATAAGGACTGAATATTACCACAACAGGAGCATAACTGACTATGAGAAACAAACCTTGTCAACGCGAGCGTGGAAGGGCACTGACTCGTTGTAGTAGTACCAGTAGCTGGGGTGGTTACCCTCTACCTCGGACCCCGGCCAGTAGTACGTCGCTGCCATCTTGCCCTTCATCACAACAGTATAGACAAGTGAGTTATCTCATTACATATTTAATACATATTGCTTCAAGTCTCTTCCCCCCCCCCCTCACTAAAATAATATGGAATACATGTAGTAAGATCATATAGTTATCATGGCTACAGCTGATATACTGTAGTGTAATGATATACATTACAATCACTAGTCACTCAAATGGTGATTGTAATGTATTTTCATTAAAACACAATATATATTATTTAGACATTCATTATATACAAAAATGCAAAACGATTTGATATTTTTCTAACATGCAAAAATTCCTGCTTGTCTGGCCCCTCCAGCCGGCCAGGCAGGCAGGAGTCCGTAAGGGTGGCCGCACTAACCTGGCTCTGTAGAGTCTTCCAGATGGGTTCCCCGCCCCACCAGCGACGCTCGAAGCTCTCAGGTCGCCCTGGACGGAACTCGGCTTTGAACACCGGATCGTAGAACCGGTTGGCGATTATCCCATGTGCCGAAGGGTACAGCCCCTGTAGGAGGGACCATACTGTGATACTTTCTCAGAAGACTGTTACCTTCACAGCCAAGTACGAGGAACATAGTACCCCACCAGTTGAGTACCAGGAGCATGGTACCCCACCAGTTGAGTACCAGGAGCATGGTACCCCACCAGTTGAGTACCAAGAGCATGGTGCTCTCGCGACCAAGCACCAGGAGCATGATACTCACACAGGCAAGCACCAGGAGCATAGTAATGTTTCACAACCAAGCACCAGGAGCATGATACACTCATACCAAGGGGGCCAAGAAGTAATATGAATGGCCCCAGACAGAGGCCATTTTGCTTTTCCTGACGGACTCGATCCATCGCAGTAAATTTTTCCAATGATATCAACGGCCCCACTCTACGCATCCCTAAGTTTAGTTACTCGGCGACGCACGGGGCCTCGTAGCCAGGTGGATAGCGCGCAGGACTCGTAATTCTGTGGCGCGGGTTCGATTCCCGCACGAGGCAGAAAGAAATGGGCAAAGTTTCTTTCACCCTGAATGCCCCTGTTACCTAGCAGTAAATAGGTACCTGGGTGTTAGTCAGCTGTCACGGGCTGCTTCCTGGGGGTGGAGGCCTGGTCGAGGACCGGGCCGCGGGGACACTAAAAAAAAAAGCCCCGAAATCATCTCAAGATAACCTCAAGATAACGGTTCCAGTCATCCATATTGATGAATGATGCCATCAGCCGGCCAGTCTTCCTCTTCCCTTAATAAGACCGTTTTCCATAATTACATGTTTAATCCCATTTAATTCTGATGTTTAAAAAAAACATAATAATAATAGTAATTCAATGAGTTAATCCCATTTTCATATATATTCCCATTTTCCAAGACTGAGTATTTCTACGTAAAAGAGTTCGTATTAACATAAGAATGAAACTGCAGAAGGCCTTTCGGATATATCCTACGATATATCCGAAAGGCCCTACGATATATCCTGTTTATTTCCGCCCATATTGAACCAATCATTAACTGCCACAATGAAATGAAATAAATTTCAGATAGCCTATACCTGAGAAGCCAGAAAATAGCACATTGTTCACATTGGTGTTTACTGATGTGTTACATAATGGGTTTAAACGGGTATAAAAGAGTGGTATCAATTATGGTATTTATTATAATAATAATAATTGTTGTAAATAATAATTATTACTCTTTGCAGACGAGGAGTCACAATAACGTGGATGAAATATGTTAGAGTATTACTCTTGAAATACTCGTGAAATTGCTTATGAAAGAAGGGAATGTTCAGGAGAATTTCAAGAGTGCTTCTCTTTCAAGTATGAAAGAGTATTACTCTTTCTTCTGCCTGGTCTTGAAGGAAACTGTCCTCGGGTGACAGAGGGCTGTGACGGTCTTTGTCTGGAACCCGTAGATGCGATACCGGACCGTCCACCTCCTGGGGCTCGTGCGGTCCAAGCTTTGCTTCAGGAGGCTGGGGTCGGTCTTACTCTTGCTGGGGTGTTTCTTCTCCGGCGCCGACCACGCAACCCGTCCTCTTAAAAATAACGTCACTTTTGGCTCGTATGCGCGATATGGCTAAATTTGGACGTAATTTGAAATGAAATCGACTCACAAAAGTGACGTTCTGTTCCGTTTTCTATTTGAGTCGGCCGGCCTACGCGCAGAGGTTATAAGAGGACACTTTAAATTCACTTTTTTCATAACGTTTTGAAACTTTATGAGAATTTCCTGCCCACCTAACCTATCAGAGGACCCTTAACTTACTGTTGTTGAAAACAAAAATCCCAAATTTATTTATTTTTTTTTCATTTTCAAATTACGTCCAAATTCGGCCATACGGGCAATCGGCCAAAAGCGACGTTCTTTTTAAGAGGACAGGTTGTTCACGGCGGTCTCTGGGTTTGGAGTCCCTGTGCCTTTTTCATCAACCTCGAGGTAATCTTCGGAGCTGGAGCCCCTGGGGGCACTTCGTTGTTGCCTTCAACTTCGTTCTGACAATTCCTGCGACGGCGCTGGAACCAATCGTACTGGCGTTTGTCTTTCCATTGGAGACTTTCGGCGCCGTGGAGAGTGGGGGACCTGCTGCTTGGGTAACAGCTTCTTCCCTGTATCAACCTACCCTGGCTTTGCGCCCTGGAGAGGCCACTCCAGACCGACAACCAGAGCGCAACTCCATAGTCTCCCGAGACTGATGGATGCCTACTACTACTACTATTACATAATGTCTAATAAATGCCCAAATTGATACCCATTTTATCTACGTGCACCCTTCAATCATGTCACCCAAACAGAGGCAATAAACAGAAGGTCCAATTAATGTACCCTTAGTGACCCTTAGGGAGCCGGTCGGCCGAGCAGACAGCACGCTGGACTTGTGATCCTGTGGTCCTGGGTTCGATCCCAGGCGCCGGCGAGAAACAATGGGCAGAGTTTCTTTCACCCTATGCCCCTGTTACCTAGCAGTAAAATAGGTACCTGGGTGTTAGTCAGCTGTCACGGGCTGCTTCCTGGGGGTGGAGGCTGTTACGTACTCCTAGCAGAATACGTATATAAATTTGAAATAGCATTTTTGTTTCCATTATATCATTGCCTGTATATGTACACACATTGTGTTTTGTAAATTGTCGTATGGTGTGGCAGCGTTAGTGGAGACAGGAGCGGGGTTGCGTTGCACACGTCTAGTACCTGTTCAATACGGGAAAGCTGGACCTGTTCAGTTTGGGAGTTCCAGATGTCACTTTTATTTAGTTAGGAAATTGTTTATATTCTGTAATTAAACAGGTGGCATTATACTTATATATTTTGTAAGTAACTATTATCTGTAATTTGCATTCTTGTGTGTTTTGAGAACAAGTGGTTGTTCAATTAGTTTTAAATATTAAAAAGTCCTTAGTTTCCATCCCTCATCCTGGGATGAGGCAGACGGGAGGCGAGAATGTGGGTAGCGCCAGAGCGAGAGTTCAGTAGCTTCGGGGAACCAGGAGGAGTAACATGTGGGAGATAAGTCTGTTACTTCTTGTTGTGCCATAGTTATTATATTATATTAAGAGTAATGACAATACTTTCGTTTGTTGTATAAGTTACTTTACCATCTGTGTTTTTATATTATACTGTCTTGAATATATATCTATATAATATTTTGTATCTATTCTTCAGTCCTAAAGGAAGATTGTTATTTATGTGCTCATTACTTATCAAGGGGTTATACTGGTGACCCGCTTTAGATAGCAGCAGTGATATCCCTAGACGTAATTAAAGCTTGGCTGCTGTAGGGTCACGAGCCGTAACGAACGATAGGTAACAGAGGCCTGGTCGAGGACCGGGCCGCGGGGACACTAAAGCTCCGAAATCATCTCAAGATAATCTCAAGAAGAACCCCTAGATTGTTTCTTTATACCTAATATATATAGTGAACAGTCAAAGATTATTCATTTAGCATAGGAATGAATAAAACCCTATATCTCCCATTCATAATAATTAAAGGAGGTAACAGAGTTTGGACAGAAAAGTGTCTTACTTGTTTAGTATTAATATCTCCAAGCGCCCAAAGTTAGATCATGACATAATGGGCGTTAAAATCTCCAAGCTAGCAGCACAGATATATATATTTTAAACATTTACGTCTCGCAAAAAAACCCATCCTGAAACACCTATCTATAATTTATGAAAGCGATGTACACTGCAGTTCTTATTAGTAAGTGACAGTACATAGCTGGCATGGTATTGTAGCTTTGTCATTAGCACCAAGGTGTGTGTGCAGAATGTACACACACACACACACACACACACACACACACACACACACACACACACACACACGTACTCAAGGGTGAGGGAGGGTGGTCACGTTGCGCCGCGCTCGTCAATAAGGCTTCGTATCTCGGGACATCAGAGGGATACACGGAAAATTCGGTGTTCAGTGATAATACAAAGTGCAACACACCACTTTGAAACTAGAAAACTTATGGATAGTGTCCGATAGTGCATATTAGACAAGATCAGGGGTACGACATCTGTGTCAGGACAAGCACGTGGGCCACTGATGGTCAGAGTGTACACAACTAGATGTGATAGTGAAGATCATAACAAATAGTGAGTAGGATAGTGAAGAAGTGATTCTAAACGTGTGGCATTGAACTATGTCGGTGCTAAGAGGAACAAGAAGCAGAGTACTGGTGATATATAGCGACAAGTTGGAGGGACCTACGCCTGGCAGCGGCGTGGATGGAGACAGCAGGCCTACACACCACTGTCAAAAGTACTTCTAACACCTGTTTGTGCTGTGGAATGTTTTGAATTGGCGTTAAGGTAAGGCCTCTCACAAAGTCAGTCAGTCAATCGGTGTACAATGCTATTGCTTTTTAATAGTTAGTCTTGGATATAAGGTAACAAACTGAAACGAATATCAAGGGAAATGTGCGGCTCATGTGGGAACTAGTTTCTGACACCCAAGTGTGAAAAAAACACTCCGCCTACACCGAGACAACTCTCCCCCCCCCCCCTCTCTCTTCCCCCCCCCTCTCTCCCCCCCCCCCCTCCCCCCCCCCCCCCTCTCCCCTCCCCCCCCTCTCTCTCTCCCCCCCCTCTCTCCTCTCCCCCCTCCCTCTCCCCCCCTCTCCCCCTCTCCCTCCCTCTCTCATAGGGAAAACATGGAAGGGACACGAACTCGGGGTGACAAACGCAGGTTGACAATCGCGGCTGGAACAAATTCAGGGGATGGGGTGGAACAGGAAGCCTGGATGAAAGGAGTATTCCAGCAAATGTGGGATGAATTCAGTGAAGGACTGAGGGTAATGAGGGAGACAGTTGCCAACCTGCAAGATGAACTAAGGGCAGCAAAGGAGGAGATAAGAAGCCTGAAGGAGACTTCTCCACAATACCAGACACAAACCGTGCCTCAGGGAGACAGGAATGCTACTGTGGAGGGGACCTCCACACCTCAGCTCTCATTTGCTGAAATGCTTAAAAAGAGCCCTGAAGCTAGGTCTGCCGTTAAGGAAGTTGCCATGGAAGTGGC